TCGCTCTGGAATGAATGGTTCGTTTAGGGAGGCTTTGTAGGTGGGGAAAGCAAAGGGGGTTGGAGGGGTGGGCGGAGGCCGGAATTAGGCTTTTCATCCCCTCCCCCCGCCCGCCCCGCAGAGCACTTATCTGCCCTTTCGGGGACGTTTCTTTCTCCGGACCCAGGATTCTGTTGGTTCGGGTATTTCCGGGGGTCGGGGACGGAGAGGCGTGGTCGCCCCTCGCGGGAACTCCAGCCTCAGGGAGCCGGGCCGGGTGTGGCCTTCTGGCCTGCGGCTATTTGCGGCTGGAGGCTAAAGGAACCCTGTTATTTCTGGGGTCCCAACCTGGCAAGGGGAAGCGCAGGGAATGTAAGAAACCTCTAGAAGGCTAGGGGTTCCCGTGCGGAGGAGAACCCAGAGCGGGTGTGAGGGCCTCCTGACCGAAAGCTGAGAGCGGGGCTGTCGCTGCGGCGGCCTCCTGCCCCCGGGCCCAACCTGGAGGGCCACAAGGAGTGCTAGCCTTTATCTGCATCCCTCGATTTATGGCCCCAAGGATGACACACTGAGGGTGGAGTCCCCACCAAGATCTGCATTTGGGTGTTTACTCACAGTAACTAACTTTTCTGATTTTATTCTTTCGGGCGTGCCTAGTGCATTGTATCCATCCGAACACTGTCCAAGTCAAAAACAAAAACAAAGCAAAACAAAAACAGAAATGGAGCTCTAAATTTAAAGTCCTGTGGCCCCCAGCATGGTGGCTCACGCCTGTAATCACAATGCTTTGGGAGGCTGAGGTGGGAGAATCACTTGAGCTCAGATTCAAGACCAGCCTGGGGAACATAATGAGATCTAGCTTCTACAAAAAATACAAAAATTTGGAAGGCTTAGTGGCACACACCTGTAGTCCCAGCTACTCTGGAGCCCAGGAGGTCGAGGCTCCAGTGAGCCAGGATCATGCCACTGCCCTCCAGCCTGGGCAACAGAGTAAGTCCCCATCTCAAAAGCAAAAATAAAAGAAAATAAATCAAAAAATAAAGTTTTATTTGGAAAGAAAGAATTGCATTTCAGGACTTACGTGCAGACCTGGTGATCTTCGGTAAGCTCGAAGAACAAAGAGAAGGTTGGAGGTTTTATTAAAATGGGAAATGTTATGTGTTGTTCTCTGAGAAAGTTCATTGGGTTCTGGGGGGTGAGCAATGGGGTTGGGCAAAATTAGTCCCAGAGTTATAGATTGAAAACAGGTGTCAGGTTACAATAGGCAGTTTCACCAGCTGGACCTGCAGAGGGTTACATTTCTTTTTTTTTTTTTTGAGTTGAAGTCTCACTCAGTCGCCCAGACTGGAGTGCAGTGCCCCTCCTGGCCACTGCAGCCTCGACCTGCTGGGCTCCGGTGATCCTTCCACCTCAGCCTTCCAAGTAGCTAGAACTACAGGTGTGCACTACCACGCCCAGCTGATTTTTTGATTTGTTGTAGAGATGAGGTCTCGCCTGCCCAGGCGGGTCCGAACCTGCGGGCTCAGGCAATCCACTCACCTCAGCCTCCCAAGGCGCGGGATTACAGGTTGAGCCGCAAGCCCGGGCTGAGTATTTCTAGAGCAATGTTATGTACCCGGGGTGCTTTTTCACCCTGGCTTCTTGACTCTGTTTGAGTAGGGTATGATAAGAATGACCCAATTGGTGTGATTCACTTTCACAGCACTGGGTGTACTCAGTATGCACTGAGGCATGCTGAATTAACAGTGTGTACCAGCTGGGCTCGGTGGCTCAGCCTGTAATCCCACGCCTTTGGGAGGCTGAGGTGAGTGGATTGCCTGAGCCCGCGGGTTCGAGACCCGCCTGGGCAGCGAGACCTCATCTCTACAATAAATAAAAAAATCAGCCAGGTGTGGTAGCGCACACCTGTAGTTCTAGCTACTTGGAAGGCTGAGGCGGAAGGATCTCCAGGGCCCAGCAGGTTGAGGCTGCGGTGGCCGGGAGCAGCCACTGCACTCCAGTCTGAGCGACAGAGTGAGACTCCAACTCAAAAAAAACAAAAAAACAAAACTGTGTATCTACACCTGGGAAGGCTTAATGAAGTGCGGTTACTACTTAATCCAAGGCCTTTATGAAAACTTTGTCCCCGACACACACACCCCTACCAGGAATTGTCAATGCTTGTTTGGATTTTCTCAGCTCCAAAGACTGCCCAACTGTTTTCCAGTGCCCACAGTGCCTGAGATCTGGACCCTAAGTGAAGATTAACAAATAGCAGCCAGGTGTGGTGGCACATGCCTGCAGACCCAGTTACTCAGGAGACTGAGATGGGAGGATCACTTGAGCCCAGGAGTTTAAGGGAGCAGTGAGCTATGATTGTACCACTGCACTCCTGCCTGGGCTGCAGAACAAAAGTCCCATCTCTTAAAAAAATAAAATAATCAGGCATGGTGGCACACGCCTGTAACCCCAGCACTTCGAGGGGCGGAAGCAAGATGATTGTCTGAGCTCAAGGGTTCCAGACCAGCCTGAGCAATATGGTGAGACTTCAACTCTACAATAAATAAAAAAAAATTAGCTGGGCGTGGTGGCACATGCCTGTGGTTCCAGCTACTTGGAAGCCTGAGGTGGAAGGATCACCTGAGCCTAAGATGGCCATGAGCAGGATGCCACTACACTCCAGCCTGGGTGAAAGAGTGAGACTCTGACTCAAAAAATAAAATAAAATAAAACATAAAAACAAAGCAAATGTCATTTGCCCAATGAATAATCCAAGGTACAAGGAAAGATATATTGTAAAATATATTTTTAGTAATTCCAACTAAGAATTTTTAAGCACTTAGTGTATGGGTTTGTGTCTAAAAAAACAGTGAGCAGAAGAAATATCAAAGCCATAGGTCGATGCAATCAGTACACAGGTGGTCCTTGGTTGAGACAGTGGTAAATGTATTATTACTCAGCTGTCACCTTTCAGACATTGTCTTGGACTGGAATATAGTTCCTATCTTAGATGCTTTTTTTCACTAGAAAAATATCTTTGAACTCCCAGTTCTTGAAATCCATGGGCACAACTGAATTAAGTTCACTGAATCGTCATCTCCGGGCTTCTGAATTATTTGTAAGCTCAAAGGCATCACTTAACCTGACTTTATCTCTCTCTAGCCACATTTCTAAATTCTGACATACAGTCTCACTAAAATCCCCAGCAGCAAGATTAAAATGGCCCCCAGAAGCATGAGCCCTCGCCGCAGCACCAGCTGTTTCCAGGATAACTTGGTGCCGTCCTTTGGTTGGACTGGCAAAGGTTCTTCTTGGTGCATCTGCGGATCCAGCTGAGTCGCTCCCTTTTTTTCAGCATCTTTCATTAAAATTCCTTCATGATTTTCAGGGCCCCCTGGGGAGAAAAGGAACTTAGTTAGCAGCTTAAATGAATTTTCTGGGGAGAGCGCGAATGCAGTTCTCCACTACCACTAATTATGCAGTCCAGTTTCCCACATTTGGGGAAATCGCAGGGGTCAGCACATCCAGAGTGTAGGGTGAGCCTCGCCCTGGGAAAGCCACCTTCATGATCATGGTATCTTCCCCTGCCAGGTGGGTATAGGAATTTTTTTTTTATTCATCTGTATAAAAGGTGATGCATATGTGCTAATAGCTGGGAAGAAGTTAATACAGGAAGCAGTTGCTATAATGAATAAATAAAAGAAATCCTAGGCCGGGTGCGGTAGCTCGCGCCCATAATCCCAGCACTTTGGGAGGCCAAGATGAGAGGATTGCCTGAGTCCATGGGTTTGAGACCAGCCTGGACAACTTGGCGAGACCTCATCTCTACAATAAATCAAAAGTTGGCTGGGCATGGTGGCACAGGCCTGTAGTTCCAGATACTCGGAAGGCTGAGGCGGAAGGATCACCTGAGCTCAGCAGATTGAGGCTGTGGTGACCAGGCTGCTGCACTCCAGCCTGGGTGACAGACTGAGACTCTGACTCAAAAAAAAGAGAAAGAAATCTTATCCCAGAGTGCCTCTCCACTCCACAAACATGGATGATCCTACTGTTGCTGACTTGCGTGCTCCAGGGAGCTTTCTCTCAAGAGCTAGAGAAATAAGGTAAATCTCCAGTTAAGACACACGGGAATTTTTCAAAGGGCCGATACCCATCTAGTAAGCATTTCAGAAAGAGAGCAAGGCTTAATGAGGGGGAAGTAACCTAAGAAATATTCCAGACTATTTACAGAACTGAAGAAAGATATGACTTTCTATATGGAAGGACCTACTAAGTACAAAACATGACAACAACTCAAACCTAGACTTAGTCTCGTAGCACTTCAGAATAGTAAGAATAATAAGAGTAAAATAGCCGGGCTCGGTGGCTCAGCCTGTAATCCCGCACCTTTGGGAGGCTAAGGTGAGTGGATTGCCTGAACCTGCGGGTTCAAGACTCGCCTGGGCAGCAAGACCTCATCTCTACAATAAATCAAAAAATCAGCCGGGTGTGGTAGTGCGTGCCTGTAATTCTGGCTACTTGGAAGACTGAGGCGGAAAGATCGCTGGAGCCCAGCAGGCAAGGCTGCGGTGGCTGGGAGCGGCCACTGCACTCCAGTCTGGGCGACCGAGTAAGACTCCAACTCAAAAAAAAAAAAAAAAAAATAGTAAAATATCCTAAAAGCTTTCCAAGAGAAAAATAAAGGCAGATTACCTAGCAGCACAAGAATAAGATTGGCGACTGACTTCCTTAAAAGCATAAATGGATATTAGGAGTGTGACAATGGTCTCAGAGTTCCAAGAGAAAGTCATTTTGAACAGAATAGTACCAGCTCACACCTAACAAAATGCTTACCCTGTGTCAGGCTGTCCTCGGTACTACTTACCCTCACAATAACAGTATGAGGTAAATGCCACTGTTATCCCAAATAATGGAATGAAGAGTCACCAGGGCAAGATCTAGGGGGAGCAGGAATCCCAGAGGGGCAAGCCTGGTTTTGGGGACTGCTGTGGCTCTGAGAGCTGCCCATCCAGATCATATGGCTGAAAGCTGAGTGGGACTTTCAGACTTCGATCCTTACCAAGAGCGGGGCCCTGGTAAACCTCTTTGTCCTCAGAGGTTGGAAACCTGAAGGACAGCATCCAAGAATTACGGATGAACTAGAAGTACAGTAAGTCCCCTACATATGAACCTTCAAGTTGCGAGCTTTCAGATGCGAACATACGTTCACATGTCCAGTCACATAAGTTAGTTCACGTGTCTGGCATACGTTGTCACGTGCCGTACTGTAAGATTAAGAATGTTTTCTTGGCCATTGCCTTGCTAAGCAATGCAATGCTTTGAGCTACGACCAGGCCGTGTTTTTGCTAAGCTTTGGCCCCCTCCCCTACTTTGGGGAGGTGAATCTCAATCTCTCTCTCTCTTTCTAATTTGCTTTCTGAGTAAACTATATTTTCCAATCTAAAAAAAAAGAATGCTTTATTTTTTGTGTTTGTTTTTATGTATTATGTGTGTGAAAAGTATTATCAACCTATTACTACACAGTACTATATATCCAGTTGTGTTAGTTGGGTACCTAGAGGAACTTTGTTGGACTTACAAACAAATTGGACTCACGAACACACTCTCAGAATGGAACTCGTTCGTATATGGGGGACATATTATAAACCAAGCCCCACACTGCAGCACACCTTCGGGTCAGCTGGGTGATCCAGAAACCCGAAATTGCACTATACTGCAAGTCGCTCCAAGTGTCCGACAGAAGCAAAAGAAAGTCCTTTCTGAAGACATTATTTCAGTCCTCACATTACTACTTTTTTTTTTTTTGAGTTGGAGTCTCACTCTGTCGCCCAGGCTGGAATGCAGTGGCCGCTCCCGGCCACCGCAGCCTCGACCCGCTGGGCTCCAGCGATCCTTCCGCCTCAGCCTTCCAAGTAGCTGGAACTACAGGCGCGCGCTACCACGCCTGGCTAATTTTTTTTTGTAATTTATTGTAGAGATAAGGTCTCGCCAAGTCATCCAGGCGGGTCTTGAACCCGCAGGCTCAGACAATGCACTCACCTCAGCCTCCCAAAGGCACGGGATTATAGGCTGAGCCACCGAGCCCGGCTATAATTTTTTGATTTATTGTAGAGATGAGGTTTCGCCAAGTTGCCCAGGCGGGTCTCGGACCCTCGGGCTCAGGCAATCCACTCACCTCAGCCTCCCCAAGCCACGGTATTACAGGCTGAGCCACCGAACCCAGCTCTCACATTACTTCTACAAATAATTTTAAAATATAAAGCCTAGACTATATATTTTAAAATATATAGTCTATAAAGCCATGATGAAAGTTGACCAGATACACAGCACAGAAGCCTAGACAATATGAATGAGAACTGGCAGAAACGACAGAACTGACCTTAACTGAAATTTAGCAATTCTACAAAGTCAAGGGTTTAAATTATAAGGGAGCAGGGATTCCTGTGAGTGCATGACTAACTGCCTTAGGGGCTGGGAATGGGGAGGATTACTCATCTGACAGAAGACAAACACCCACATTTGCATGCTGTTCATCAGAAGCCATGGTCCAAATAATAATCAAACCCACAGGTATTTTCCTGGAACAGTAGAACCCCATTAAAACAAACACACAAGCCAGGCTCGGTGGCTCAGCCAGAGCACTGGGTGGCCCAATGCAGTATTAGAAATGTCTGTAGAATCCTGGCAAGGAACCGGGGACCCTTTAGTCACCTACAGCAGTATGCTAATGTGTGGAATTAAACAATTTACCTCAAATTGGGTGTTACTTGACTTCATCATTTGTTTCTGAAACACTATGGCCCCATTAAATGGGAGCTCACAGCAGCAAACCTAGCTGTGTCCTACAAACAGCCCCTCCAGTCCCACCTAGACAGGCCTCTCCAGGGCCTCAGGGAGTCATGTCATACCTGGGTGAAGCAGATCCTGAGGGCGAGCAGAATTTCCATTCTGAGCCACACTGACTTTCAAATTGGCATGTACCTGAGCCTAGGAAATAAAACTCAAAGTAAGTCCATAAGGCTTTATGATAATATTAACAAGATCTTTTTGGCTGGATGTGGTAGCTCACACCTGTAATTTCAGCACTTTGGGAGGCTGAGGTGGGAGGACTGCTTGGCTAGGAGTTTGAGACCAGCCTGAGCAACACAGCAAGACTCTCTCTCACAAAAAAATTTTTCAAAAAAAAAAAAAAAAAATATATATATAAAGGTATTTTCCTTGACCACCTAGCCTAGGAAAAGCCAAGCCATTTTCCTTAATTGGCATGTACAGCTGAAGGTCCTCCTGTTCACAGATATGGAATCATCTGTCATGAAATGGGGTCAGGGCCAGGCACAGTGGCTCAAGCCTGTAATCCCAGCACTTTGGGAGCCCAGGGGCTCGAGACCAGCCTGGACAACTTGGTGAGACCCCGTCTCTAAGAAATAAAAAAAAAGAAAGAAAGAAAAAGAAATGAGGTCAGTGGGTGTGGGAAGTTGAGATGGGAACAGTATGGGGTGAGGGAGACAGGGACAAGACAGGTCCCAAGGTCAAATTAGAATTCTCCCTTCTTTATTACTTCATCTCCTTTATCTACCACCTATTTCTGGACCCCATGTTGATCCTAGAAAGTTGAAGAGACGGATGCATACCAGTATCTTAGTGAAATATTTTGGGATAATAAGCAATATTAGGATGACTGACAAATCCCACCTTTCTCTCTAGTTCCAATTCTTTTATTTTTTATTTTTTTAGTCAGAATCTTACTCTGTCACACAGGCTGGAGTGCAGTGGCACAATCATGGCTTACAGCAGGCTAGACCTCCTGGGCTCGGGATCCTTCAGCCTCCCAAGTCACTGGGACCACAAATGTATGCCACCATGCCCTGCTTCCTCTTTTTTTTTTAATAGAGAAAAGGTCCTGCTATTTTGCCCAGGCTAGTCTTGAACTCCTGGACTCAAGCAATCTTCTCATTTTAGCCTCCCAAAGTTCTGGGTTTACAGGCATGAGCCACCATGCTTGGCCCAGTTCTAATTCCTATCCTGAAGTTGACTTTTCCCACGCAAGAATGAAAGCCTGGCATAACCAGGAATAAGGAAGAAAGGAACACTGTTTGGTTTTTTTTGGGGGGGGGTTGAGTCGTCGTTTCACTCTGTCACTTAAGCTGGAGGGCAGTGGCACACTCATGGCCACCACAGCCACAACCTGCTGGGTTTAGGCGATCCTTCTGCCTCAGCTTCCAAATAGCTGGAACCACAGGCATGTGCCACCATGCCCGGCTAATTTTTTGATTTATTAAAGAGACAAAGTCTCGCCAAGTTGCCCAGGTTGCTCTCAAACCCATGGGCTCAGGCAATCTTCTTGCCTCTACTTCCCAAAGTAGAATTATAGGTGGGATTATAGGTGTGAGCCACCACGCCCAGTAGAACATCCTATTTTTCTGGAAATGGTTAGCCAGGCTTGTCTGGCCCTTCATTTCTGAAATAAATCAGTTAAAACAACAAGAAGAAAAATAACATGCATGATAAAAGAATAAAGAAAAAGAACCTGCTGGGCTCAGTGGCTCAGCCTGTAATCCCAGCACTTTGAGCGGTCAGGGCAAGTGGATTGCTTGAGCCTGTGGGTTCAGGACCAGCCTGGGCAACTTAGTGAGACCTCGTCTCTACAATAAAAAATAAAAAAAGAAGCCAGGCTCGGTGGCTCAGCCTGTAATCCCGCGCCTTTGGGAGGCTGAGGTGAGTGGACTGCCTGAGCCCGCGGGTTCGAGACCCGCCTGGGCAGCGAGACCTCATCTCTACAATAAATAAAAAAAAAAATCAGCCAGGCGTGGCAGCGCATGCCTGTAATTCTGGCTACTTGGAAGGCTGAGGCGGAAGGATCGCCGGAGCCCAGTAGGTCGAGGCTGCAGTGTCCG